AGATGATGTTGATGGTCATAACAAGAGATGAAGATAGATTCAAGTACCAATGGTACTTGGATTCAGGATGCTCATCACATATGTGTAAGGAAATATTGGTTTGTCAACATAAAACCCTCGATGAAGAATATGGTAAAATTTGCAAATGACAATACTCTAGCAGCTGAAGGTGTGTATGTTATGATTATGAAGAAAGATAACAAGAGGTCAGTAATTATACATACCAGGTATGAAGAGAAATTTGCTCATTATAGGGCAGTTGGTCGAAAAGAATTACAAAGTGTCGATTAAAGACAAGATGATGAGATTCGTCGACACAAATGAAAGGTTAACCTTGAAGGCTCCCATGTCTCAAAATATAACCTTCAAGGTTGAACTTAATGTGATGGAGCACAAGTGCCTTTCGGCTGTAGCTAGCAGAGATGAAGGGATATGGCATTATCGACTAGGCCATCTCAACTTCAGAGACATCAGAGATTTGAAAAGAAGAAATATGGTTTCAGAATAGCCAAAAATTGACATTCTGAACAAGGTATGTTTGGAATGTGTGCGGGCGAAGCAACACAAGAACAACTCCAGCAAGGATGCATAAAGCAGGTCGAAGACTATCCTCAAAGTCATATACTCTGATGTATGTGGACCAATCCAGGTGGATTCGTTTAGAGGTAACAAATAATTTGTTACATTCATAGATGATTTTAGTCGAAAACTATGAACTTACCTGATCAAGAAGAAAAGTGAAGTGATCGAGGTATTTACCAAGTTTAAATCTATGGTCGAAAGACAAAGTGGTCGAAAGCTCAAAGTTTTGAGAACTAATGGTGGTGGAGAGTATGCGTCAAAATACTTCGACAAACTATGTGAAAAAGAAGGGATTGTGCATGAGGTGGTGCCACCCTACACTCCACAACAGAATGGAACTTCAGAAAGGAAGAATCGAACCATCATGAATATGGTGAGAAGTATGTTGAAAGGAAAGCATTTACCTAAAGAGTTTTAGGGTGAAGCTGTGTCAACTGCAACATACATATTGAACAGATGTTCGACGAAGAATCTATAAGGAATTACTCCGGAAGAATGTTGGTCTGGTGTGAAGCCTAGTTTGAGTCATCTGAAAGTATTTGGATCTATAGCACATAAAGATGTGCTAGATCAGTTGAGAAGAAAACTTGATGATAATTCGAGTTAAATGATCTTAGTAGGATATCATTTGATAGGAGGTTACAAGTTGTTCGACCCAATAAACAAGTAAATTGTGATCAGCAAAGATGTGATCATAGATGAGCTTAAAGAATGAGATTTGACTGAAAATGTTAAGAAAGATTCAGTAGGAATCCTACTTGAAGAACTAAAAACTCAAGTCGAAAGATAAGTTCGACAAGAGGAACCAGCAATTATAGATCAACCAAGTACAAGCAGATCTCAAAGAACAAGACGCATGTCTGCAAGATTGCAAGATTGTGTGATTACATCAGATGATGTGATAGATAATGAAGATGAGTTGGTACATTATGCTTCCTATGCAGATGTCAAACCTGTCAATGCAGCTGAAGCATTGAAGGATTCTAAGTGGGTGAAAGCAATGAACGAAGAGGTGAAGTCCATCGAAGACAATAATACTTGGTCACTTGTCGAATTACCTCGAGGCAAGAAGGAAATTGATGTCAAATGGGTATACAAAGTGAAGATGAATCCCAAAGAGAAAGTAACTCGACACAAAGCAAGGTCTGCAGCGAAAGAATACCTACAAAATGAAAGAATAGGCTTTGATGAAGTTTTTGCACTTGTTGCTAGGATCAAAACAATCGGGTTGGTTGTTGATCTAGCAGAAATAAACAGTTGGCACATATGTCAGATAGACGTGAAGTGTGTATTCCTGAATGGACCCTTAGATGAAGAAGTTTATGTTAAACAACCAATTGAGTTTATGAAACATGACGAAGAGATAAAGATGTACAGGCTGCATAAAGCCTTGTATGGACTGAAACAAGCTCCAAGAGCTTGGAATAAGAAGAATTATAGTTTCCTAAGGAAGAAGGAATTTATGAAGTGCATAACTGAACATGCAGTTTATGTAAGAAGAAGAAATAGTAAATTGCTTATACTATGTCTCTATGTCGATGATTTGTTAATAACACGTAGCTGCAAGAAGGAGATCAAAGACTTCAAAGGTGATCTCATTAAGGAATTCGAAATGTCTGATCTGGGTGATATTTCATATTTCCTTGGCATTGAATTCTACAAGAGAAATAGAGGTTTGATGATGCATCCAAGAAGATATTCAAGTGAAATTCTCAAGAAATTTGAGATGAAAGAATACAACTCGACTTCGACACCTGCAGAACCAAGACTGCAACTATCAAAAGATTCAAACAAAGATGATGTCGACCCAAGCCAATACAGAAGACTTATTGGGTCATTAAGATACCTTTGTCACACGAGGCTTAAATTAGCATATAGTGTAGGTTTGATAAGTAGATTCATGCATAAGCCAAAGGTATCACACCTAGCAGCGAAAAAAAGGATATTGAGGTATCCGAAAGGAACTCTCGAGTATGGTATTTTATTTCCTACAACTGATAAAGGAAAATAATGCAAATTAGTAAGATACACTGATTCGAGTTGGTGTAGTGATGTCGAGGATCGAAAGTCCATATTTGGTTATGTGTTTATGTTAGGTGGTGCACCAGTTGCTTGGAGTTCAAGAAAGGAACCAGTAGTGACATTATCATCGTGTGAAGCGGAATATGTAGCTGCTTCTCTTTGTGTATGTCAAGTAACATGGATGGTGAACTTGGTTGAAGAAATCACAGGGAAAGATCATATATGGAGCAATTACCATGAAGATCGACAACATGTCAACTATCAACCTGACGAAGAACCTGATAGCTCATGGTCGAAGCAAGCACATCGAAATGAGGTTCCACTATCTTCGAGAGCAGGTAACAGATGAGAAGATGAACTTAGAACACTGCAGAACTGAGAATCAGATTGCAGACATCATGACGAAGGGTGTGCAGGTCAAAGTATTTCAAAGACTAAGAGTTATGATGAATGTAGATAGCTTAGACACAATGAATTAGGTGGTGTGTTGAAAGTAGTTCCTTGTGTCGAAGCAGTTTGCTCGATATAGACAAGGGAATATCGAAAATATTTTATTTGATTTAGAAGTGTGGAAACAGTTTGTTACACACAGATTTGTTTTAGATTTAGATAAATTTGATTTAGATCTAAAATATATAGATTTGATTTAGTTCCAAAATATGTATTTTAGGCTTTTGTAGTTTTGGGCTTTGGCTTAGGGAGCAAGCTAACCTAAATCTATAAATAGAGAGAGAGAGAGTAACCCCTATTTTTTGTCATTTAAGTCAATCAAATTGTATTCACAGAATTTTGTAGTTGTAAAGTGAATAAGAAAATTTTCTACAGTTTGTGGGCAGAAAGAAACTCTGCAGAAAATCATTGTCTTCTTTTCTTTCTTTCTTTCATATAATTCATTATCATTGTATGGTGATATCAATCTTATTTATCAAAATTAATAGAAATTCATCATAAATATTTAGTGAATTTTCAACAAACACAACAATCATAATTATAACATCTATAACTACAACCGCAACCGCAACCAATATCAAGGTTTAGACATTTTGAAATTTTAGCAACTATGCACTTCATGTGTTAATAGCTTTTAACAAAATCCTCTTATAAAACTTTAAAAAACGTGGCTAGAGATATCTAGATATATTATAATGTCCTAATTCTTATGTCTTTAATTTCGTTGTTAATGTTTTCAGCTTATATCATTCTTTGTTAGAGGTATTGTACAACAGTACATTTCAGATTTTGAAGTCCAAAAAAATTCAAATTTTTATTTATCACAAACACTTTCAAAGTAGTTTTAAATCAAGTCTTTAATATATTAAAAGAGAATAGATATTTAGACATCGAATTTTGAATAAGTTCTCACTTAAACAATTTTTAATTATATTATTTTAGTTTCTCTTTTTAATAAATATGATTTAATATATTAATTAATATTTAATATTAACTATTCTAATTCATTATTCCACCACTAATTTTTATGTATTTCAACTGTTCAATCAACAAAAATTTTAAATTTTTTTTATCGCATACAATATCTGTTTATAATTTATTCCATACATCACATGGGATAAAAGTACTATTAAATACAAAGACTCAACATTTGCTAACAAAAAATAATGCTTTCTTGTTTGTTATGAGGTTAATGATGCAAATGCAATGTTGAATTTAACCTCTCTAACTTTCACAAGTCTAACCTTTCGTCTTCTTAACTAGTGAAATATCTGTGCCTTCACACGAATACCGGTGTTTCGAGTCGAATTGTGAACAATTAATCGTAAGTAGTTAAAAAAAAGAAATTGTGATAAATTAATTGCAAATAAGTAAAAAAAAATATTACAGTTTAAATCATATGTAAAAAAGACAATTATTAATATTCAAAGATATTGTTCAACAACAAAAATTATATTTATTTATAGGTTACAAAGATAAATTAAAGATCATTGATGTAAACAACAAAACATCAATAAATTATAATTAACTGACTTTATATATATATATGACATTTGTAATGTGGAGATTCTCTATCTAATCTAAATTGAATTGTGTCACAAACTTTAAACATATTCGATTGACAAAATTCATCCTAATCGTGGGTCTAACTTAGCTCGGTATAGATTTTGAATGTTACATCTTTGATAATTCTCCGTAGATCAGTGGCGGAGATATGATAAAATTTTATATAACTCTTATGTGAACCTACCTGACCATATCAAACAAAAGATCATTCACCCATATCACAAGCAAAGTAGAGTGTTAAAAGGGAAAATAATCAGCAAATAGAGTATTAAAACAAATAGTCTATCTTTGTGTCAAGTTCTCATATAATACAAATAGAGAATATCTTAACAGAAGAATATGATTCTTTCCTTCTTCTTAATTTTAGGGTTGCGTCTGCTCTATGTTTTCCGACCATCTAGAATGTTCTGCAAATCCTTGGGCCGACACGGAACAACGAGAGTTCCCTTCTGTCTAAAACCATACTCCTCCCAGGCTTCATCAAGCAATCCCACAAAAGCAGGATCTGTCAAGTAATCTAACCCAACAATGAACCTTCTAGTTTCATTTCCCTTCCTTGCAAGAACAGCAAAGTAACCTTTCATAACATCATCAGCCAAGTCACCTGTGGTTGTGGCATGATCCTCATTCCAGTAACTCAATGCGTGCTTTCTTGGTACAATCATTGATAAACTCTTTTGTACCTTTCCAACAAAAGAACTAAGCATCTTGATATTAACAAGTAGCGTTTGATTTAGTGATAACTTGGAATATAATTTTAGGCCTTGAGTTTGCCTATTTATGATGAATTAAAACACGATATTTGTTAACTTTATGTTATACGTAGCCCACTTGACATACGGTACCGGTGGGTCAAGCCCTACTATTGCATTCATTGCAATTATATGATAGGTCAATTCCTTCCATCTCATTAGCCAAACAAGTCCTTACTTTTTAGAGAGGCCCAAGATTTTGTTGTCTCTGGCCAAATCCAATGATCTTATTGTGTGATGATATGTTTCTCTTTGTTAGGTAATTTTATCTCCGCGCAAAACGGTCGAAACTAGTCTCTACTAATATAAATGAAATATATTTAATTTGACATTATTTAATATTCAAAAATATTACATTAAAACGAGTTTATATACTTTATGTCTTATGAGTAGGTTTTATAAAAATAAGTTAGGTCAAACTTTAAATCTAATATAATAGAGTCTATTGTTTATATCCATACATCAAGTCGACACACTATTTCTCAAATATATGTTTTTTTTTTTTAAAGTGAATATGTTGAACTAGTGCAAAGATATTTTGAACTAAACTAATAATTTCTTTTGATACATTATCAAATATTCATTACGAAATAGTAGTGATTGAAAACTCTTTCAACGCATAACTTTTTATCATTAATTTGATTCATGTTCCTGAAATAAATCACAAAGTCGAAAGTTCAGGTGAATGCACCAAGCTCTACCTAGTACATTCCATTTATAAGGAGGGAGATGCTACTACTGGTTTTTTTTTCATGCATTTGTAAATTGCAGAGGTTGGTGAGGCAAGATTAAAGGGGCGTCTGGGATTCTACATGAGATATTTATTTTTCAAATCTCTTTAAAGAGTTGATTATAGATAGACCATGTCTTGACGGCTTTCCGAGGAGGATGATCTTGCCCTTACTAGTATTTTTCTTCTCCTATAGAGTTAGATTAGGTCGTGGCTAAGTGTGATGGCAGTAAAAACCATGGTCCTGATGGCTTTGACTTTTCCTTCCTGAGAAAATTTTAGGTGATTTGGGATTATGTTTCATTAGTTTTATTGTTTTGCATTGCTGCTTCTTGCAAGTTTGATCCCTAAGGCTTTGTTTGGATGAGAAGAGAAGTTGTAAAGAGAGAAAGATGTGAGAAAGAGTATGAAAAGAGAGAAAATGATGAGAAATAGAATAGATGTGTTGTATTGTTTGTTATAAGAGAAAAAGAGAAGAAATAGAAAAGAAAGAAGTGTGTTATTTTTTGAAAAGACAAAAATACCTTTAAATTGATCTATTTGTAAAATTATTATTATACAATTTTAATTATAAATTTTGATGTGTAAATTATTAATATACACTAATAAAATTTATTTTATAAATTAGTTTAATTTTATAATTTAATTTTTTATTATTTGATTATTATTATACGTTAAAAAATATGTATTTATATAAAATATAACTAATTGTGACCATTGATTCACTCATAATGAAATAAAGGGTATACTTGAAAAAAATATATAAAACAATGGTTATTGTTGTATTTCTTCTCATGTATGAAGAGAAAACAAAAAGACGTGGAATCCACTAAATTTTATCACTCGTCCCTATTTCTTCCATCTACTACGCAGGAGAAGTAATCCCTTTCTCATCTCTCTCTCTCTCTCTCTCTCTCTCTCTCTCTCTCTCTCTCTCTCTCTCTCTCTCTCTCTCTCTCTCTCTCTCTCTCTCTCTCTCTCTCTCTCTCTTGTACTTCTCTCGCATGCAAATCACCTAAAACAAGCACACTGTAAGTGTAATTCCCCAACTCAGTTGGGTGATTTTCGACCTATTTCTCTAGTAGAGTCCTTTTACAAGTTAGTATCCAAAGTGTTGGTAGTTAAACTAGAAAAGGTATCGGGTAAGCTTATTTCTCCTAATCAATTGATTTTTCTCAAAGGGGATTATTGGTCGATAGTGTGGTGGCTACTAATGAGGCGATTGACTTAGCAAAGAGATTTATAAAGACCTATCTTATTTTTAAGGTGGATTTTGAAAAGGCGTGTGATTAGGTTATTTAGAGTTTTCACAATTATATGCTTATCATATTCAGGTTTAATGGTAATCGGAGAACTTAGATGAGAGTTTGTGTGTCAAAATCTTGAAGTGTTGGTTAATGGTTTTCTAACCCAAGATATAAGTATTCAAAGGGATTTAAAATAAGGCAACCCTCTAGCTTATTTTCTTTCCTTGCTAATGGCAAATGGGCTTTGTGGTTGTTCACAAGGGAAACTCAATTCGACCTTTTCTCTGGATTTAGGGTGGGATCCTTAGATTTTTTGGTCTCCCATCTTAAGTATGTAGATGATCCTTCTATAAATAACCCGAGGATTATTAAGGATATCTTTAGAGGAGGCATCGAGTCTTCGGGTTAATTTTTTCCCAAGAATAGTCTTCTTGGGGATAATGTGAATTATTTATTTTTGGACTCAATTGGTGATTTTCTCTATTATAAGTTTGAGTCTCTTTCGTTTAGGAAGATAATCGATGTATTGAAGCCACTTAGTACACTCTAGTTAGTCTTTGTCTAAGAGGATTCTTTTGTGGAAGCATAGGTATGTTATCTTAGGGGTGAGTGATCCTTCTTAATTTTTTTCTTAAGGTTATTCTTATTTTCGTCATGTAATTTTTGAAAATAGATGTGAAGTTTTGAAAGAAAATAGTTAGCATTCAAAGAAGTTTCTTTTTGGAGATGTGAATGGCAACTTAATGATTTCTTGGGTTAAGCGGTCTGATGGCTGTAAACCTAAAATTAAAAGTTGTTAGGGGGTTATGAATCTCTTTTTGGCTATTTTGGCCAAATAGATTTGGAGATTGATCTCAAATGCTTCTATCCTTTGGTGTTTTATCCTTGCATCTAGGTATGGTGCTTCAGTTGTATCTTCCTTTATGGGGAGGTTGGTCTTTGAGTTTTCATTTTGCATCCACTTGGTTGTAAAGAGTGTCTCTTCTTGGGTCTGAAGAAGATGATACCTTCGACTAGTTTGAAGTTGCCTTTGCTTCCTATATTTATGTTTTATTGCTATTCATTTATACTTTGATTTTTTTAAATTGTTATTGAGTCTCCTACATGATTTTACATCTTAGATTTAAGTTCTTAATCCTTTTTTATGCATGCATAAATAAAATTGTTTGATTATTATCCGAGCAATATGCTTCTAGTCAATCCGTCGAAGTTTTAAATCAAGAACCACATTTGTGAATAGTTCAAGTGATATTAAGTTTGGATTCTGAAAAAACACTTAGTGTCTTGCAAACATTAATGTTTTGGAAGTGCGATTCAAATCACAAGCTTACATGAATCGAATCAGAGAGACATAATGGTCTGAAATTTCTTCCATGTTGTCATAATTCGAATCTCAGATACCATGACTCAAATCATGCAAATTTATGAGCAAGAATTTCTTCTATTTATGTGATTTGGATCACAGCAGTCCATGTCAGCTCATGTGATTTGGATCACATGTGGTTAGGTTTATTCATTAATAGAGATTTCGTTCATAATTGTAGGTATTGTTAGCTTGGAAATTCAAATTGTTATTGTTGTTGATTAAACCTTGAAACAATAATTATTGAATTCTTATTATATTAAAGTTATTCATTTATATAAATCATGTAACACAATTGTAATTCAATAAACCGATTTATTGTCCTTGGTTACTTGTTTTATCTACTTTCAATTTTGTACATCAATTGAGTTTTGTGTTTATTCCATCAAAAAGTGTAAATTTGTACACATGTTTTTCCTTCATGCAACTACTTTTCAATTCTCTGATTATTAAAAATAAAAAAAATTAATCGATCAAAATTTTAAGGAGGTCTATTCAACCTACCCCCTTTCTATTCTCATATTCTCGCCCAAAAATTAGCCTCAAATCTTATCTTTTTACCAGGTTTAATGGACTCTAAAAATTGAGAATATGGGTAACAATGATCTAAAGAGAGCATACAATAGATCCCCAATTTTCAAAAGCAAAATTTGCGCTTATTGGAAGGATAATATGTACGTTCACTTAATGTGAGTAGAAAAAATGTTGTGTGGCTATTATTGATGGACCTTTTATTCAATGGTGCTTTTATTGAAAAAATCATAAGGGATTGATTATATGAGGAAACCAAAAAGGCATGCTATGATTTAAAGGTAGGGAATATATATGTTTTTGCGTTAAGCGCTAAAGTATTTTTCTTTATCTCACATTATAAGAGTGTACAATCAATGTAGAATGATCTTCAACTCCTCTAAGAGGGTATTGAAGAAGTTAAGGATTTTAAAATTAATATGTTGAAAGAAGAGTATGAAATATTTGGTATGGAATCCGATGAAAGCATGGAATCCATGCAGAATCCTTTTCTCCAATTAATAAACAAGTTAAAAAATCTAGGCAAATCCCTTTCTAACAAATATTGTGCCAACAAAATTTTAAGGTCAATGGGCACAGAATGACAACCGAAGGTTACAACCATTAAAGAATCAAATGATCTCAATAATTTGGATATCATAAAATTATTTAGAAAGTTGGGTGAAAATGAATTAAAAAGGCTCGCAGCAAGCGATGTAAACCCCAAAAAGAAAGAAAAGGTTAAGGAAGAAAAGTAGGATATCTCCTTGAAAGCCTTGTCATCTAAGGGAAGGAAATTGGAGGAAGATAGTTAAAGTTATAAAGAAGACTCTTCAAAGATGAAGAAATGGGGTTATTCTTCTAGCGTTATAATCAACATATAAAGAAACACATGCTCAAATACTCAGAAAAGAATTTAATCAACTTTAATAAGTCACATCCAAATAAGAAAGATGATTAGAAAAGGAAAGAAAATGTTACATGCTACAAATTTGGAAAGTCGGGTCATTGTCATACAACATGTCTGAGTCTCAACAAGTGTAACAAAAATAAGGATAAAGACTCCTACAAGATGAAGGGTAACTGTGCCAAAAGTCACAGGGCT